CGGCGCAGCGCCGCGGAGGGAAGTCGGGGGCGGGCCTCGAGCGAGCGCAACACCACGGCGTCGTCGAGCCGCACCACCGCCACCACCATGGCCACCACCACCCCTACGCCCTCGTCGATGAGTCGGCGCAGTAGCGTCACGCCCGTCGTGACCGCGGGGAAGGCGAAGCTGAACCGCAACACCCTCTCGCACAGTCCCATTGCGCTGCTCGACATGTTGGCCGGCCCCATTTGCCAGACGCGGCAGTTTGTGTTTTTGCGGCCCACCGCACAGCTCGCAGTGGCTGCGCAACGCGCCGCAATTGAGGACATGCGGCATCTCTGGCAGCGGCTGCGGCAGGCGTTGCTGGAGGTGCTGTATGCGGAGGAGGTGGTGCCGCCCAAGCTGCGTGCACGAGAGCACGTGCCGCCGACCTTCCGTGCACACCGCGTCACGGTGAGGCCGCTCCGTGCGGTGGAGGTCATGCCGCCGAAACTGCGCGCGGAGGAGAGTGTTCCAGCAACGCGGCGATTGCAGCTGCCGGACCCCGCCACGTATGAGAGCCCGTATGTGCAGCAGGACCGCAGCAAGGCGGAGGGGGAGGCGTGCCCAACATCACCGGTCGCATCGCACTCGCCGACGCTGAACGAGCTGCGGCGGCAGCTTCCGTTCCTGCAGGGGCACGGCGTGGGGCAGAGCACGGAGAGCGTGCAGCGGCAGCAACTCCCACCGACGATACCGCCCATGTGCGAGCGCGAAAGGGCAGAAACATCAGCGTCAGAAGCAACGCGGCACCGGTGTGAAAACGGGAGAAGGTCGGCAACGCGTGACGTATCGCCGTCGCTGTTCCGCACCCACGACCCGGACCCTGACGGCACCGCCTCGTCCCATTCGGCCCCGTGGGAAGGGGGCACCGATGCCGGCTTTGTCGGCGGGCCGTCGCGTGTGCAAAGCGTCAACTGCAGTACGAGCATCACGGCTCCGTCGAACTCGCCATCCCGCAGCAGTCTACGCAGCGGCAACAGCACCGCACTCTCACCACCTGCAGTCTCGATGGAGTTCGCACAGAGGCAGCTACCGTTGGAGCACCGCCACCACCATCAACACTACCACCACCAGCAGCAGGAGCAGCCGCAACAACTGTTGAGGTGGCACTCCTTGTTGTCGCTCTCGACGTCGTCCATGCAGAAGGGCAGAGCAGAGGACGGGCCGTTGCGACAACCGTCGCGCAGTGTAGCGAGGAATGGCGCAGCAGAAAATGGCATGCATGCGCCGATGCTCAATGAGCAGAATCGCCCACGAAGTTTTCATGACTCGCAGAGCCCACCGAAGAAGTGTGTCAACGGTGGTGCGGAACATCCGACAACGAGGACGCGAAGTCGTGAGGAATGGCTATTGGAAAGGCAGAAGCAGGGGTTGCAGGGAGTTCCCGACGCAAGGACAACGGTGACAGCAGCAGCAGCAGCAGCGAGAGAAGCCGTAGTAGTAGTATCAGCAGCAGCAACAACAACAACAACAACCGCCTTACCAGCACCAGCGTCACAGCAAGAGGCTGGGGTTGAGAAATCAGGGATGCCTAGTCGCACCACATCCGCACCCATTGGGGAAGAGACGAGGGAAGGCACGGCTTCGGTGTCCTCATCTCCGCTGAGGCAGCCCGAGTTGCAGCACGATAAAGCGAAGGAAGGGAGAAAGAGTCGTGCGGTGGCCCCTGTAGAGCTCAAGCGCGGGCTTTACAATGAGCCGATATATGAACATCTGCACCACGACCCGAAACAGTGGCCGAAGCAGCAGCAAGAGTGTAGTAAGCAGCCGCCGCAGTGGGATAAAGCACGGGAGCGGAAAGTTGGGGCATTTGAGCCCACAGTGGTGCCATTAAGTGCACCCGCTCCGGAGTCGCAGTTTGATATCTTGCCAAGCACAGCGCACGGTGAAAAGGCGGTGGGACTCGAGAACAAGTCGCCGTTGTTGGACCTTCAGATGAGGCCGCGGCGATTGGCGTCTGTGTCGCAGTCACGCTCACCCACGGTTTCATCACCGTGTCGCTGTAGCAATATCCGCTCGAGCACGGAGTCCAGCGCGACGAAGCGCCGACCGTACAACCGCCTGGGGACATTCGAGCACCTCAAAGAGCATCAACGACGCCGCCGTCACTTCCGCAAACGCGATGCTGATGGAAGGAAGAGGGGCGCCCGAAGTCAGAAAGGCGCCACCACCGCCAGCAGCAGCAGCAGCAGCGGCAGCGACGAGCGCGCGGCGTCGCAGTGTTGTGACGGCCTCTTGCTGCGAAATCGAACGCCCAGCGAGGGTCCGACGTCACGATCCGCAGGAGTCGAAGCGGAAAGGCGCCGCTACGCACTCATGTCGTGGCGCCACGAGCTCGGCGTTGAAATCAATGTGGACGACGCGCGTCTCCTTCCGCCTGCTGTGGCGGCGGAAGAAGAGGAAGCAAGGAGGCTGGCCCTGCGACTGGGAGAGAAGGCGAGTTGGCCGCTCCACGACAGGCGGCCGATGGCTGAGCGCAGCAGAGGCAGCAGCCCGAGCCACACGCAACGCCCCTCCCAGCAGCACGGGTGGTTGCAGTGGCAGCCTGCGAGCGGCTTCCGCAGTGCGGCTCTGCCGCGCCCCGTGGCCTCCGCCGCCCCTGACGCATGCGACGATGACGACGAGCAGCAGGAGCAGGAGTGTTTCGAGGATGAGGAAGACGCGTCGTCGGCGCCGCCACGAGCGGTTTCACAGACACGCTGTGGAGGGGATCGGATGGAGATGTCTTTCTCACGCCACACGCAGCGTCCGTGAGCTCGGCTACGTGTTGTCCCGTCGCGCTGCGGCGGCAGTGCGCTCCCTACCGCCCCCCTACACACACGCATGCGCGTATGTGTGGCGTGGGG